TGTAACACGTCGGTATTGTCATGTCTCGGAATGTCCGAAATAAATACTACAATACAGCTAATTTTACATTATAATTCCTTATTAATACTGAATCCTCGATTAACTGTAACCAGAGTTGGGCAAAATTTTATCTAGATAATTATTCGAATAAAAAATTTTAAAACAACATTTTTTTCAAATAATTTTCATAGCTAATTATTCAATTAATTTTAGTTTAATTAGTTGATTAAACTTTAACTTTAGTTGGTAATTTTAAACATGGAAATTTCCCATATAATATCTAAATGACTAATCTAAGAAGAAACTGTAGCTCTACAAACGCTTTCATAATCGCCTACAAACCTACYAAAATCCATTAATAAAGAGCCTTTACACCTAAACCATACCGGGAAACCCTGGGTGTCGTCTAAAAAGGAACTGGGTCCGTGACTTGTTATAAATAAAAAATCAAAAAAAAAAAACAACCAAGTTCTAAACAGCGTTAATTCCCAGCCAAGTGTCACCAATGGGTGACTTCTTAATTCAAAATATTCTTGCTACTATTATAATATCATATATACTTATCATGCTATGTTGTATAGATTGTGTATTTCAAATTGATGAATTGATTGATTAAAAAAAAAATGTCTAATCTATTTATACATTTTTGTAAGGAGCTCAATATAAGTAGAATAATTGTATTTTAAGAATATTTTTTGAATAATTTTTTATTCAAATAAATCGTTGTGAATATTATTCGAATAATTGTGAAAAAATTCATTTGAATAATAATTTATTTGAATAACATTTTATCTAAATACAAATTATTCGAATAATGCCCTACTCTGACTGTAGCATCCCATGTGAAAAAATAAATGAATAACTATAAACTTTTTTCAACAAATCTATTTCAATATCAGACATTTCTTCCTGTACAGATATATTTCTCCAAAAATGATGCAACCTAGTTTCATGAATAGCATTTAAATTTTAAATCTTTCAAGAAATGTCTCATTTGAAAAAAAGATTAATAAAACCTCTTTCAATTACATCTGCTTTACTTATCCAACAATGTTAGATCATGTGTGCTAAACTAGTTTTTAAACAATGCAATGCCACTTATCCTCTTGATGATGATATACAATCGGGTTACAAAATGTTAGTCCTTTCACCAGTTTAAACTTCAAGGGAGATCTATCTAAAATTATATTTATAAAAATAGAAAATACTTTTGTATTTTTTAAAATCTAAGAAGTAATTAAAAATAAATCTTACTTTGTAAGAAACTTTTGACCGAAAGTTTGTAGGATAATTAAACATTTAGTTCTAAATATGTACATGTCTTCATTGTTGTCTATGATTATTCAAATAGCAGCTCATGTGTCCATTTACTGGATCACTTGTATCACCTAATAGTGAATTAATATTCTTGTTGTTTGAGATCTATTTGTGAGGGGTGTAGTGGCCGGGCGGATTTAGGCGTCGGTTGCAACACGCACCATCGCCGGTTTGAATCCTGGTCACGGGCAGCATCGCTTTCTGGGTAGTTCACGCTGTCTGGGAAGAGAAGCCGCCGCCCCCCACCCAGGCATGGCAGATACCTACAGGTGTCTACTAGAAATTCTGTCAAATAGGCGTCCGAACTATAGGTCTTCATGCCTACTCCCGGACATAGCACCATACGAAAAAAAAAAAATTTATTTATGATTTAATTTAAACCAAAACCAATATGTGTTGAAATTTTATACTGCTTTTAATTTTTTTAAGAGCAGGACATGTGATACAGAATCAAAGTCTTTTGTTATAACTAAGAATATACCTACACATATTTTACTTTTGTTTAATGATACATAGATTAAATTTGAAAAATATGAAATTGCATCTTGGCAACTCATATGATCTCTAAAACCAGATTGCATATCAGTTATAGTTTTTTTTTTCTTCAAAAGTGAATTGGTTTAATTGTATCTAAGCACATTTTTCTATAACTTCAGCTATACCAGATATTAAATTTTTTAAGAAATTGTTCTCTGTGAAATATGTCTGTATGAGTTAATTTTATACGTATTAATTTATTTTTGTTTTAATTTTTTATTATTTTTTGAATTTTCATCTCAATTTATTGTTTAAATATCATTTTAAAATTGATTAACTATTTTTGCACCCATGGCTGTAAAATAATTTTTAAATATATGGGCATATTTATGTTGATTAATTAATTTTGTGAATTATTTGTGAAATTGGTTCTTTTTTTTTATTAATTTCTTGTAGATTAAATTGTTTTATTAAAAACAATTTCATCATGAATCCTTATGACTTTGGTGTTTTCATCTTTCTGTACTAAAATATCTGTTCCACTCACCTATACATATTTTTAGTTTTTATTTTTTTGTCATTGTCTTTGATCTTCCCAGTAGTAATCTTTTGAATTTTGTCAAATGACTATATAGATTTTCAATATCGATCAGTCACTTCTATATTGATTAGATATTTATTGCTTTTTCTCTGCTGGAATAAAAACTGGTTTTTACCTACAATTTCAACTGATTTTTCTAAACTGTTTTCTGGTCTAATTCATCCCCTTTAATTTTTAGTTCTTTCTACCTGGAACCAAGGCAACAATTATATTTTTATGTTACAAATCAGTTGTTAATGTATTCCTGTCTCTAATTCAAAATTGTTCCAGTATATTCTTCCCATTTTAAATTTGTTGCAATTTTCTAGTAAAAGTATGTATTTGTATATTTCACACTTAAGTAGGTAGATAATGTGCCAGGTGTAACATACAAACAAGTTGAATGAAACCCAAAACAAAAAAATATTTTTTTCTAATTATTATTTAATGTTGTTATGGGACCGTGGTTCCAACACAAATTAATTTAACGACCGATTAGATATTAATGATAGAGATTTTATTACTGGTTTTTAACTTTACTAATTGCACAATAAATATAGAATGCTCTGTTCTAAATATGACTGACAAACCTCCTCCTTGTGTGTCGGCCTGCGACCCAGCCGGACGCCGAATCGCCTAGTTAGCTGATTCCTGTCGACGAACTGTCAAACACACTATTCCTACACTGCTAATATTATATCATGTAACAACATAATATAATATTATATTATTCAGGGGTTCACAACACCCCCCACACTAAATGATACAAGGGGGTCCTATCACTGTGTTTCACCCAATCTAAAATAAGAGTCTGTAACTTGGAATATCGAAGGTCAGTTCAGTATAATTAAAGTACTATATTTATAATAAAATGTATTTTGACAATGAGAAGGAAAAAAAAATATTATACTCTAGCGTGTTTAAATAATGTGATATGTGTAACCATTAATTATAAATAGTATTTATAATCAATTTTGTAACCTATACAATTTTTCTTAGTACTGTACATTCTTAAAAATTAAATTCATTTTTTCTGTTTTTTGCTCTTTTATAAATTTATTAAACTTGGTGTCATTGGCATGGTGAAGGGGGTAATCAAGTGGCTTCTGAGTTTTATGGAGTGGTGGGATATTAATGTCATGATCTATAGGTAATAATTTAGTAATAACTATGACATTTTGTTGAGTGTAAAACTAAGTAATCAATTCATCTAGCCTCTGAAAAATTTCAAGTTTGCTACTCTACTGTTTAATGTATGTACATGCATTTTAACTAATCTAAATTCACTAGATGATCTATACTCCGTTCGCCAATAAAATGTGATTATTTGCACTTACAACTTGATTTTAGAAACGGTGATTTGGGTGGTTGCCGCAGGGTATGGCACAATATTTTTTGGTTGGAACTTAATTTTCTTAGCGAAAGAAGCTTTGCTTACTATTTACTAGAATTTATAGAATACATACATTTAATATAATTTTTGAAGTATCTTAAATTTTGCAGCAKAAATAAGATTTAATGATTTAATATATGCTAATTTTGCATCTTAAGATAAATCATGAGCTACTGCTGCCAATGTTTAAGGGCATAACATTATCATAGTATCACTATTAAATTTATTAATTTTAGACCTTGACTTCTTACCATGCAGTATCGGTATATGGTTGAAACGCCATGTTTTCTGGTGACTTAGGCCGAGCACCAATGCAGTGAAAAAAAACTGCCATGACCCACTGCATGCTCACTGCTTTGATGTGCGCCCAGCCTTAATGTTATAAAATAAGTAAATTATTTTGTTATTATATTTGTATAATAATAATTTTATATTATACAAACAATCATTCAATTAATATTGATATGGATTTCATTGACTAAGGTGTACAATACACAAAAACAAGAGTTGTTATTAAAATATAAATAACCGTTGATATTATAGATTCTGAATAAGCAATTTTATTTTGAATTTTGACTGTTTTTTACAATAATGTGTATTTTACCTGTCTATCTTTTTTGTGACAGTAAATAATAAAAATACTTAGAATTTCTTCGTTAGAATCTTTTCTTGTAGGAAAGTGAATCCAATATCATGTGGGAAAACAATCACTAAAATAAAGCAAAAAAAAATATGCGGGAATTTTTATACATATTAGTTTTTGGAAAATCGATTTTTTTTTTTAAGAGTAACTATTAAATTCTGTGATATTTGGTTTTGATTGGATCATATTATCATGGTTGATCACATCCATCATGGAAAATGCATTTTGACAACTGTATGTTTTGAGCATATCGATAGTATTAATTTGGTTATATTTTCAAGTATAAGATAACTTTGAAAGTGAGTTCCAAACTTTCATAATCTTATGCTTAAAAAAATTATAAAGAATTCTTGAGCATGGTTACAATGTGGTCTATGTGCTATTTTTGGTATGCATACAATAGATTAGCATCCTCTGTTGGTTAGTATGTGTGGATTTTACTAGATGTATAAAAAGAGATATAAAATTATTTAACTGAGTCAACATTAATTTTTGTGATTATAATAATAGTTTCTTTCTCATTTAAGCAGTAAATTCAAATAATAATATTTTTTGTAAGATATGTTATTAATATCAATATTTTTTTTCAGGAGTTTTAAATATGTCGAGCGAACTGGATCAAGGAAAAATTGATGAAAGTGTACCTGTGGTTCTCCTAAAAGAATCTGAAATAAAAAAGGAGGAAATTGAATCAATAAATCTTATAAGTGATGAAGAAGAAGAAGAATTATCAAACATACACTTCTTACCTTTACCTATACCTGAAGCTGTGCCTTTACCAAGATCATGCCTTGATAATCAGGATAAATCAGATGATGAACCGCCGCGCTGTAAATCTGTACCGTCATCTGTCCCTATACCCATCGAAGGCTGTTTAACTATTAAGTTGGCTGAACGATGTTCATCTATGCCAAAGGATATTAAGAAGTTCATATTATCTCCAGTAATTATAGATTACATTACTATTTCTGATTCTGATTCTGATAGTGATAGTGAATCTTCAATAGAATATAAACCAAAACCATGTCTTAAGCGCAAAAGAAGTCTAATTCCAATAAACCCGGATTTTGAAAATACCCGAAAAACTATGAAACCAGGACCTAAGTCAAAAACAAGAAATATTGCCACTGTTCATGAAATGATAACTAAGGCTAGAATGTTAGAATCAGGAGTGACACTTGACTGCAGTGACACTTCTGATGATGAAATGATGTGGGAAGCTGATGCAGAAGAAGAAACCGACTTAAGTGATGATGAAAATGTTAGTGATGAAGATGCGGAAGAAGAGGAATCAAAAATTGATCCAAATGAAGATATCATAAGTATTACTTCTTCAACTGACGATGAGATGGAGGATTTAGATCCTGAGGTTGGAGAACTAACAATGAGTCGCGAGGAATCCATTTCCTTTGATGATGCTGAAATAGGAAGAGTTCTTTTAAGTTTAAGTAATAAAATTGAATCATTAAATGATAAGACTAATGAAGATGAGGTATCAGAAAATCTTATTGATTCAAATAATGATAAAAAAGCATTGGAAAATAATGTCAACGAACAAAGCAAACTAGAAGACAAGAACTTGGAACATAAAGAATTGATGAATAAAGAAATTGATTTGAATAAAATAACTGGAGATGAAATATTAGAGAATAATGTCAACGAACATAATGAATCAGAAGACAAGAACACGGAAAACAATGTATTGATTAATAAAGAAATTGATTCAAATAAAATAACTGGAAATGAAATATTAGAGAATAATGTCAACGAACATAATGAAACAGAAGACAAGAACATGGAAAACAATGAATTGATGAATAAAGAAATTGATTCAAATAAAATAAATGGAGATGAAATATTAGAGGATAATGTCGAC